GTGACAAAGATGCTCGCCGTGGTGGTGATCATCTTCGCCCTGTTGTGGATGCCCTATCGGACTTTGGTTCTGATCAACTCCTTTGTGTCAACACCCTACCTGGATGCCTGGTTCATTCTGTTTTGTCGGACTTGCATCTACGCCAACAGCGCCATCAACCCGGTGATTTACAACGCCATGTCCCAGAAGTTCCGTTCAGCATTCCGCGGCCTCTACAGCTGCCAGCGGACGGAGCTGAATCAGCGGACGCTGTCCGGCTTTGGTACCATCCGAGACCCACGACCCGCCCAGCAGCAGAGCAACGGGACAGATGAGAAGGAAAGAAGACACATCTTGGGAAGTTCCTCTGACCTGACAAAGCACAATGGCAACGGACATCAGGAGAGGGTGACGGTTAACGGTGTGACCGCTGACCGTCGTACCGACATCGGGTCTGCAGATGTCAGCACCAGAGGAGGTCCAGGTGAGACGGTGTTGGCTCGGGATGAGGACTCAGGTCGGTCCAAGAGGAATAACTCTGCAGATGGAGGAAATGATTTGCAGGAAGCAGTGTGAATATTTCCTCATGCACCCAATTTCACGTAAAACATTTAGAAATTTTAAAAAAAATAATTCTGCACTGAGGAGAAAAATAAAGATTTAAATTCCTTCCTAAATGTTCAGCAGCTGCATTCATTTATTTAGGTTTAGAGAAAAAGTTTCTAAAAGCAGGAGTTTGTCCTGTTATTATCCTCCAGATCAGATTGCCTAGAAGATCTCATCACGGGGAATGATGTGGAAAAACGGGAAAACGACGGGTATGGAATTCCTTTGTGTGAATTTCCATTGTTCAGTTCGTTTTTTTTTTAACATTTCAGCTAGCACCGCAGCCTTCCTACAGCGCTAGCCGAAACTTGTCAGCAAAAAAGCTAAAAACAAATGTTCCGGATGTTATGGATTACGAACATATAAAAGATCCTCGATGAGACGGCGTGTCGGGAACTCTGAGAAAAAAGCAGGAGAAGGAAGATTTTTTTTATCTTTTCATGATTTAAAGTGTTAGACCAAAGCTGAAATGTTATCATCCACCCCAGGATGATGATGATGATGATGATGATGATTATTATTATGATTATTATTATTACCTTTGTGACCCGGTTTTTTTCCTAACTCCATGCTTCATTACCGCAGGGCATTATGGGTATTATTGTCAGTGCTGGTTTCCGTTTTATTCTCTTGGTGATTTCAAAATACATGTTGACTTTATTCTTTAAACAATATTTTATCTTGTTGTGAACATTTATATTTTAGTGCCTAAATGGTGAAAAAAACCTTCTCTTTCATGTTTTCTTTCCTTTTTATCCGTTTAATTTATGCGACATGATGGTAAAAAAGTGTGCAAACTTCTGTGTTTAATGAGATTTTGTAAAAGCGTTTTTGGATTAAAGTTGTTTGACTAAAATCTGAACCAGCTGTTTGAGACTGAAAACTAGACCCAACGATTAAAGTAAAGTCAAACATTTTTCATTATTTATGTAAATAAATTCATGAAGAAGTCTTGAAATTTAAAACCTAAAACTGCTGCATCAGATGCAGTTTTACTATTTAGATCTTTGTTTTATTTGAATTTAGTTGATGTTTTTCTACTTTTCAGTATTCTGCTGCTGGGGGGGGGGGGGGATTTTGTTTGTGTTTGAACATGAAGGAATTAGATTATTACCTTGTTTTTACTTTGGTTCAGATACATATTAATACGTATAAATACATTCTTATTTGTTTTAATGCCAGAAAACAAACACATTTATGATTAAAATGAGATTCAACAAAGATTCAAGTAAAGCTGTTAAGAATGAGCAGAATTTACATTTATTTAATTTTATTGCACATTTTACACTGTTTATGTTTAAAAGTGAAAAACACATTTTGAATATAAACATTGTTTAGGAACACATCAGGACATGGAAGCAAATAGTGGCAATCAGTGTTGGGAGTAATGCGGAACAAAAGTAATTAATTACTGTAATGCATTGCTTTTTGCTGTAATGTAAGGCATTACAGGGAAAGAAAATGGTAATATTTACTCGGTACAATTGTCAGTAACGTAGTAATTACAATGCATTTTTAAACCCAGAATCAAGATGCGTTTCTTAAAAATTCCAGTTGCGGGAAGCCCGCATATATTACGTCATTGGTTCCCAAAATTATTTAGCCGCGCACCCCCTTCTATGTCCCGACCATGTTGACGCACCCCCCAGCCCCACATCAGGGCATGGATATATATATATATATATATATATATATATATATATATATATATATATATATATAATCAGACGTCACGCTAAACCAGGGGTCGGCAACCTGTTCCCATCAAAGAGCCATTATTACCCGTTTCCCACAGTAAAGAAAACACCGCAGCAGCCACGGCGTTGTGGGCGGGGCCTACCCTCAGACAGCAGAGCGCTGCTCACAACAGGTGACAGCAGCCGGTACCGGTCGCTCGTGTACGTCAAAGTTATCTTTCATAAGACGATAATCAATAAAATGATTTACATAAAATGGATCCAGAAGTTGTAGCCCGTCTCTGCCTACAATATTTTGATATTTTTCACCCTGTTGGTGGTTTTACTGAGCAGGTGCCACTTTTGTCATACGTTTCTTTTTAAAACATGTTTAGACTGTTCAGAATACAAATCCAGGCTCTGTCACGTTTGATTGTTGTAATTAAACTTTGTAGGTGGGGAAGGTCAGAAAAGGATCCGATCATTTTGTTTTCCCCTCATTTACAGTGATAGAGATAACGGCGCAGTGCGCCTGGCTCTGGCGTTCATCAAGTTTAATTTGTAACAATTTTCACAAGAAAACAGAACAGTTAAAAGAAGGGCTTGTGTTGTGTTGACTGGACAGTTCCCGTATTTGGCCGTTTATTTTGACGGAGAAAGAATAGAAAGAATTACCCCGACGCATGCAGACGAACTGACACTTTATTCGTTACGCACATCGCAGATGTAGCTAAATCACTCAAGAAAAGATTTCCTTCTGAACATCTGAGCTGGACACCGCTCAGCGCAGCTCGCTGTCAGCGCGTACATAAGGTGCACAGCGAGCTGAAGATGTGGAGAGGGGCTTGGAGCACGTCGCAGACCCAGAGCGCATGCAGAAAGATTCCTCCGACTGAAGCGAGAGTTTTCCAAACCCGGTCTCTCAGAGAGACTTGTCACTTAGAAAATGTTCCCTGATGATGAAACTTTGGCTGAATTGTGCTTGTTCCTGTTTCCAATGTGGCGTCTGAGGAGAAGCCCAGAATCTCACATCCTCGTCAGCTCAGGAAGCGCCTATGATTACGTACAAGCGTGACGCGTCAACCCGGTCACACAGTAGACCGGGTTGGAACTGTTCAGGTTTACGCAGACAATCTTTACATTTAGAATTAGCTTACAGATGTAAAATTTATGCAGCAAAATATAAAGCATTTTATTTAAATAGCCATTCATTATTTTACAAGCACAGAGAGCCGCATCAGATGGATGGAAGAGCCGCATGTGGCTCCAGAGCCACGGATTGCCGACCCCTGAGCTAGGGCATGTGCGGAGGACACACACACACACACACACACACACACACACACACACACACACACAAGCAAAATCTACTTGTTTTCAATTACGTTTATTGAGCCCACTTACTTTTTCTTAGGCCCACCCACAAATGCGTTTCTGGCTATGCTAATTGTGACTTTTGACAGACTTCTCTGAGCTCCGCAGCCATTACACTTTTCACCTCGCGCACCCCCTAGCGACAGCTCATGCACCCCCAGGGGTGCGCGCACCACACTTTGGGAATCCCTGTATTATTTAAGTAAGTAAGTAAGTAAAAGTTTATTTATATAGCGCTTTTCACAGATATAAATCACAAAGCGCTGTACAACATGATAAAGTCATTTATGGACTCAGTTTTGCGGGCAGAGAGGACGCAGAGGTAACGGCTCAAATACTGCAGCTGCGTCCTGCACGCGGCCGCTGTCACATTCACAAAATCGCTCCACTAAAACAAAATAATTCACTTGCAATCGTTCATATCGGCGCATATTCTCTGGTAGTTTCTGTACTTTTCTGATGTGCTTTGCCTCAGCTGAGTTCGTAATCTGTACTCCGGTGATTTCAACTCATTGCTGCTGGAGCGCAGCGCATGTTAAGATCCCTTTGGCTGATTAGTTAGAAGGTAGGAAATCTAGGAAACAGTTTTTCTGGAAGACGGAGAAAAGATGCAGCATGCAGGAAGGTTAGAGAGAAAGGGCAGGAAATGATTCAAATAAAATCAAGAAAACAAAACAAAATGCTTGAAAAGAAAAAAAAGTAGGTAGATTTATCCCCAATACACATGTTTACCTGTGAAAAGCAATAATATATAAGCATTTAATATTTATACATGTGATAGAATCAGATCACCCCAGAAGTCAGTCCCACATCCAGGGCCGTATCAAGGCATTTGGGGACCAAGGCTAAATAGACTAGCCTAGTGAACTAGACCAAATTCTTGCTTTGCAAAGTTTGGTCCAGGAACGCTCCACTGGAACCTCTGCAGCCCCTAACAGCATTCTGGCTGGCCAATCACAGCTCTCTAGAGGGGTTTCAAACACATAAAGAGCTGTGATTGGTCCATAATGGTGGGCCAATCATAGTGCTCTATCTGCTTAAGCTGAGCGGACACTGTGCGACTTTTTCACTCGTAGCACTCAGCTTCAGCTCAAACTGTGCGACTTCCTCACAGGGCAGATCTCACGAGTCATGCGCTCACACTGCACGACCCAGTTCTCGGATGCGACCTGACTGCTCACACTGTACGTCTGGTAGCAACACGTCGGACCTAAAAATAGCAGTTTTTACACAACACGTTAGACTTTTTTGTCTTGTTTTGCCTGTTGTCCTTCGGGAGTGCTGCAGGAGGACACACAGGGATTTATGGGGGTTGAATGAGGAAAACGAAAAAAAGAAAGTAAATCTGTGTTTTGTGATCAGTTTAATTTGACATGAACACGACAAACACGCTTTCTTGACAATCTTTGTGAGTAAAAAAAAAACGTGTAGACACAAAAATGAACGTGGGTTATTAGGGAAATAGCGGGCGAGCGGTGTTGATGCAGGATTGCGCATGCACCGTGAGCGGTTCTGGTACTTTTTGGGTCGCAGCTGCTCGCAGCGCTGCTTCAACAGTGCGATACCCTCACGAGGGACGAGCAAAATATTAAACACGCTAGAAGTTTGTGCGAGCTCACGATTGCTGATCGGTAGCTGGTCACCTGGTGTTAATTGCCTCTCGTAACCCCCTGTACACTACACGACGCTCGGCGCAAAACTCGCCCCGATCTCCTGGATTCTCGCACGAGTGGAAAATCGGCTCAAAAAAGTGAAAAAGTCGCACAGTGTACGCCCGGCTATAGTGAACAAATCACAGAGCTTTATCTGCTTTGTGGGCCAATCAGGGCACTCTAAAATGCCTGGTGGGTGGGATGATGCAACAGCGTGAAACAAGAGAATGTCACATTCATTGTCCAGTAGCACGCGGAGATCATTTGAAAGACAACGGTAGAACCCGCCCCACAACCGAGAGCCGTCAATGGAGCGTTGCCAGACTAAATAATACATTTATTTAGTCTGGCTTGCCGGGCTATAAATAGACTTCACCCCACCCCCACCACCTCACTTCCTGCTCGGTTACTATAAGATGGCAGCGTGCTGAGAGTACAGATTGTTGTTGCTTTTATTTCATAAACTATCATTCTAAAGAACTGTTTTTAACAGCAGTCCTAACTCAGACACCACATCACCTTCCGCCAGACGTGTCATGAGCTCAACGGGCATCAGATTACCAG